TAATATGAGATCATTTACATACGTACATATGACATACACAGATGTCAGTACATAGGTATGTGACAAATGTGAATGACTAACCGAAAACGCAAAAACCAGGTCTTTGATCTGTGACAGCTTTTAATGTGTCATTCATGAACAACAACGAAAAAAAATCAACAACAACAACAGAAGGTTGATAAGATTTGCTAAAGTTTTACACCTTTCCACGAAATCGAGGCAGAAAGAAATTTCATTGCAAATGTCTGAGGAGAACCGGATGGCTGGTTGGTTGGTTGGTTGACTTTATAGCTGCCGTAACGTACAACAAATGGCGTCAGCATATTTTTGCAATCAGAAAAAAATCACAAAAAACAATAACGACAAAGTTGCCTAATTTTCAGTCGGACCGGTGCGCATGTGTGTTCTATTTTTTTCTCTTTGACAGGAAATGTTGCCAATTTAAAAAAAAAAAATAATTTTGAAAACAACGGTCAAAAAGGAATGATTTCCTATATAAACTTCTTCGAGAAGATCCAAAGTTTTTCGACGTGAAGATCCTTAGAGCATTTTCGAGAAGATTTGACAAAATCCAAGGACGTTATATAAGATGATCAACCAATCTATATATAACTGACTGACTGAACGAGAATCAACGTCCAGACGAAATGGCTGAAGCTAGAATCATGAAATTTTGCACGAGGGTCAGTCTTGGTGCATAGCAGTGTGATAATTCTGGGTACGAAAAGTACTAAAATGTACTTAAAATTGAATACTTTTTATTGGACAAACGGAATGAGCTAGAATTGGAATGAGCATCACTGATAGGGTTCAGGATAGAGGCACCAAAGGGTTTTTGGAAATTCGAACTTTAAGGTTACGAAAAGTTCTAAAATGACACTAAACTTCTAAAATGGTACCATTTGGATAGATCTCAAAACTTCAAATTTGATATAACAATCAAGGTTGAAAAAGTAAGTTTGTAGTTTTGAAGGGGGTTTCGAAAGTGTGTACTAAGTATGCGAACTGTACTAAATGGTACTAAAAGCTGGAGTTTTGAAATTTTGTATAAGGTACCTGTTGGTAGTAAGTATGTGATATAAACGTAGTTTTGGAAATGTGCACTACGAGTGCACGAAAAGTACTAAATAGTACTATATTTGATACAATTTGGTATTGGGTGAACAAATAGTGCTTGAAATATGAAATTTGGCATGAGGGTCGCTGTTCATGGACATATGGAGGTGGTTTCGGAAATGTGTACTATAATGGTACGAAAAGTATTTGGTATTATGTAAGATTTGGCGGTTGTTTTGAAAATGTACCTTTATTTGTATGAAAAGTACTAAATGGTACTAAATTTGGCATTGGGTGAAGGAATATGGTTGGAAATCTCAAATTTGATATTGGTGTCTCCTTTGGTATCTGGGATTGAGATATGGAGGTGGTTTTGGAAAGTGTACTATAATTGTACGAAAAATTCAAAACAGTTCTAATTTCCGAAATTTGATATTAAGGGGTCTATTGGTATCTGGTGGTTTTACAAATGCCTACTATAATTGTTCGAAAAGTACTAAATTGTACTAATTTCGGATCGCTGTTAATGCTGTCAATCAAGATGGAGAGATGTATATTGTTATGGATATGCATACTTAATGTTACAGCATTTGGTTGGGTGAAGGGATAGAGTTGATATTTTGAACTTTGATCTTGAGGTCATTTTTGGTTTCTAGGGTTTACAAATGGAGACGTTTAAATAGTTTTACCAATATGCTTTTCGGTAAACTTCTAAGGTTCCCTAAAAAACGTCCTTAATATCTACGTTTTGTGTTCTAAGAGTCCTTCAAAATTGTCTTTAATTTTTTCGCATTCTGAGGGTCCTTGAAAAATAATCTCTAAAATACAAGTTTCGTGATTTTAGAGTTTCTAAAAAACATTTTTTCGTAGACTTAGGGTCTCTGAAAAACATTCTTTAAAAATCTACGTTCTATGGTCCTAAGGTTCGATGAAAATATATTTTTCATAATTCTTCAAAGTCAACGTTTTTTGGTCGGTGGAAGAATGTTCCTCAAAAATTCAGGTTTTGTTGTCTAAGGGTCGGTGAAAAATATTCTTTAAAAATCCGCTTTTTGTGGTCAAAGAGTCAAAGAAAATCCATGTTTTGTGGTTCTAAGGTTCGGTGAAAGAAATTTCTTCAAAAATCCACGTTTTGTGGTTCTAAGGTTCGGTAAAAAATGTTCTTCTTTCGGTGAAAGAAATTTCTTCAAAAATCAACATTTTGTGGTTCTAAGTTCGGTAAAAAAATATTCTTTAAAAATTCACATTTTGTGGTCCTAAGGGTAGGTAAAAAAAATTCTTTAAAATTCCACGTTTTGTGGTCCCGGGGTCGGTACAGAAATATGCATCAAAAATTCAAGTTTTGTGGTCCTAATGGGCGGTGAAAGAAAATTCTTTAAAATTCCACGTTTTGTGGCCCCGGGGTCGGTAAAGATATATTCATCAAAAATTCAAGTTTTGTGGTCCTAATGGTCGGTGAAAGAAAATTCTTTAAAAATCCACGTTTTGTGGTCCTAAGGTTCAATGAAAGAAATTTCTTCAATAATTCTCGTTTTGTGGTTCTAAGGTTCGGTAAAAAATATTCTTCAAAAATCCACGTTTTGTGGTTCGGTAAAAAATATTCTTCAGAGATCCTGGTTTTGTGGTCCTAAGGGTCGGGGAAAAGATATCCTACAAAAATCCAAAAAATCAAAAAAAAACAAAAATCAAAAGCCGTAAGGGTCGGAGAAAAAATATTATTAAAAAACATACGTTTTGTGGTCCTAAGGGTCAGTAAAGAATATTATTCAAAAATTCTGGTTTTGTGGTCCTAAGGTTCGATGAAAAAATATTCTTCAAAATCAATGTTTTGTGGTCTTAAGGGTCGGTAAAAGAATATTCTTCAAAAATCCACGTACTGTGGTCCTAAAGGTCGGAGAAAGAAGATTCTTAAAAAAAATTACGTTTTGTGGTCATAAGGGTCGTTAAAAGAATATTCTTCAAAAATCCACGTTTTGTGGTCCTAGGGGTCCGTGAAAAATATTCCTAAGGGTCGGTTTAAATTATTCTTGAAAAATCCACGTTTTGTGGTGTAAAGGTGGACTTCGTGACAAATTCTTTATATCAATTTCTTTTGGTCGGCTTGTCCCAAAACGGTAACCTTTGCTTAGTTTGTCTGTTGCAAAAACCGTTACTTTTTCGGGTCGACCCAAATTAATGAGACTACAGGACAGCAAAAAAAAAAAAAAACGAACGAAACAAAGGATGGCCGTAAAATATTTTTTCCGATGCTCTTTTAATTTCGACTCATAAAATGCCGATAATGGTCATTAATAAGTTTGGCAATCATCATTAAACGCGAAGCTGATGACGATGCTGATGCCGATCATCTCTTCAACAGGTAGTAAAACAACAAAACGTGCTTAATGCAACAATTTACACCATCCGTCCGTTGTTCGATCGCGTGTTCGTGCGTGACAATCGTGGAGTTTTGAGGTTTAAATGTCTGTCCTCCATGGTCTAAGACAAAGCGACGAATTTCCAAAAAAAAACATGAGAAGAAGAAGCAGAAGACAAAACGAAAATAACGAACTATTTTTTCGGTTATAACTACCATGAAAAATGGTTTGAAGTGGCGGTGGAGGAGGAGGAGGAGGAAGGGCAAGGTGGACGGCAAATGAGAGATGAAAGAACGAAATACGAAACCCATAATGAAGTATGGGCCATGGAAATAGAAGTAGGTAAGACAGACACGCCACACCAAAGAAGATATGAATGCCGAAGAAGAACGAAAAATACAGAATATGACATAGAGGTTGTTGAAGTAAAAGAAGACAACAACAACACCGCATTAAATTAATGGTTGGCGACAACACGAAGAGGCAACATGAAACCCAACTTAAAAAACAAAAAAAAAAACAACTCTCGGGAACTAAAAACCCACACAGACACACATACCGACACTCTCCTCAGAAAGAACCCATGGTGCCCGGTGCTGCACAAACATAAATCCCAAAAAGATAGCAGCAACGTTTTGAAGAATAAACGTGTCCAAGAAGTAAACCAAGAAAATAAATAAACAAACAACAAAAACAAAATGGAAAAAATGTAAACTAAAGAAAAATTCAAAAATACCGGTTTTTTTCGAACAATGAGGTACATAAACAAATTATTGACTGTGTAAGACTTACATGCACCAATACAAAAGATAGTTGTGTGGATGTGTTAGTGTCTCCACCACAAAATACCTGTACCTGCTCCAATGTATTGGTTTTGTTGAGACACCGGATTTTTTCGTTTATTTTTTTCAAAAGGTTCTCCCATATGAGAACATGAGAGTTGCTGAATATCTCATGGATATGCCAAGATTGTCAACTGAAATTATCTACCCCAAAACAGAACATAAAAACAAACAAAAAAGTAACGACACTTCATGATCTGAGGGTGCCTGAAAAAAAATTCTTAATAGTCCATGATTCAATGTCTATATTTTTCTTAAAAATCCATTGAACGTAAAAAAATGTGAAGAGATGGTAAAATTTATCACTACCTCGTTACCCGCTAGCAACACGAACTAGTTCGGCATCGGAAACTCGTCGATTCTCAGAGTTACAGTAACTAGTTCCACTTAAGACCCCTCACAGTGCAAACAACTGTAAACTTTAACATGGGGATGTCATACGAAGTAACCAATTGGCTCCCTTTGCATTACCTGTCGATGGTACTTTACTAGTTCCAGGTTTACAGTCATATACCAGTGACAAAAGACTAACCCTTACCAAGTTCCAAGTACACAGCCACAGACTAGTGTCAGCAGACTACCTTTTAACTAGTTCTATGTATACAGTTATGTACTAGTGTCATTTGACTATCCCTTATCTAGTATAAGCAGACCAATTTTAAACTGGTTTCCCATGAACTAGTTCAGTACCAATTATTGTTAGTGAAATTCTAATTTTTAGTTTTAATTCATTTTTTTACTGCAAACAAATGAATACAAATATACCTTACTCTATAGAACTTGAACAAAAATAAGTTTAATTTAATATTTATTAAAGCACTTGTATTGCTTTTCGCAGTTGTGTTTCAGGGGTGTCCGAATATTCTGTAACTGGTATTGAATCTGCAAAAAATAATGTTTAATGTATGAAAATGTAGAATATAAAAATAATGTTTATATACTCCTTACCTAAAATAACGCTGTATATATTACTTAGGGACTTCAAACTTTTTTCCATGGTTTCCCTCAATATTATACTCGTAGTAATATTTGAACCGATAACATTTTTAAACATTTCGATGTTTCCTCTCCTTTTATAATTGATGCTATAATCTTTACCCAAAAATTAACAAAAATTGTATATAATCTACGTTTGTTCAGCAATACATTTAAAAAATACTTACATATATGTATTGATTCTCAATATTTTTCATAAGTGATGGGGAACCTATTCGATAATGGTATCTCATCACTTTGAGATCGTAGCACCATCACCTTCAACTCAGCTAAAGCATCAGCTAAAATTTTGATTTGACCTATAGTGAAAACAAACAAATTAATAATTTGTAACAATTCTGAGAAGAATGCTATAATTTTACCTTGAATTACTTTTATTATTATTTTATTACTATTATTACTTTTACTACTCATTCTTACCTTTTTATTTGTTATTTTCAACACTTTATAACTTATTTGCACTGAAAAATGATACTTCACTTCACAACGATCAGAATAAGAATGCTTTTTCCAAACAAAACGCACTTGCATTCCTCAAGAATAACGGTGCATTGTTTTTTTATTGGTAATCTAAAAAAAACTATTCAAAGTGGTTCTTGTTCGTAGAGATCTCATTCAAATGTTCGTTTGGTTTTTTCGTTGTGGTTTTTATTTATGCACAACTGTCGCTTCTTTGCATTACTTGGGGATGAAAAGGTGTCAATTGGTTACCTTTGCATTACTTGGGGACACATTTGGTACTAGTCCGGCTTATATCTAGTATAGGACTGGTGAAATTGAGTTAAATGGAATTTTCATTGCCAGCGGGTAATTAAAGGTTAAACCCAATTTTGATGCTTCATTTACTTAAAAATCCAAGTTTGGTCTGTGGGTCTCGAGAAAAAAATATATTTTAAAACATCTCCTTTTGCATGGTCAAAGGGAAACACCATTGTAAATGGGTCTTCTGAGAAGAATATTCTTCAACAATACATGGCTAACGTTTTGCGGTGTAAAGGTCAGTAAAAAAATTATATAAAACTTCACGTCTTGGGGTCTTCAAGGTCTCCAAAAAATATTTTCCCAAAAATTCTGTCCAAAGGATTCAAAAAAAAAAAACATTCCCCAAAAAAAATGCAAGTTTTGAGGTCCAAAGGTCTCCGAAAACATATTCTTAAAAAAATTACGTCTTGTGGTCCGATGGTAGATGAAAAAGCCTTTTTCAAAAGCCCACATTTTTTGGGCTCGGTAAAATATTTCTAAAATGAGTAAAAAAACATTTAATTTTAATTACTGCCGAACTTTTAATACCCTCCACCATTTTAAAGGAACTTGAAAAATTTTAAAATTTTCAAAAAATTAACTTTATTGAACGAAAGCAAAAAATGTAGGAAATAGCATAAATTTTTAGAATAAGTTCAGATTTGTTCGAATTGGTCACCTTTGGCACGAATTATGGCCTTCAAACGGCCAATGAAACCGTCACACGCTGCTGGCTCTTCGCTATTTTGGCCCATTACCGGCGAAGCGCTTGAGGTGATCGACACTTTGGTATTTTTTTTGTGCCAACCTTGCTTTCCAAAATACTCCAGACACAATAGTCCAACGGATTGGTATCCGGAGATACCGTGGTGGCCATTGTGCGCTGGAAATGAAGCGAAAATCCTCATTTTGTAACCATTCTTGGGTAGCTCGTGCTGAATGCGATGGTGCTGAGTCATGTTGTAATATCCAAGGTCTGCGGCCAAAATATTTGCGTACCCAAGGCTTTAATACACCCTCCAGAATATTTTCGCGATAATATTCGGCGTTTATTCTGATGCCACGGTCGGCCCACACCATCACCATTTTGACATTTTGTGAGGGAGGTACCAGAAGGAGTGAATCGATACTGCCCATCTCCGAACTCTATCTAAGCTTGATAATAATATTACGATGTACCAAGTTTGGATCAAATCGGATACTCCCTTAGAGAGTTATCGTGCGCACCAGCCAGTAGACAGACGGTCGGACGACCGGACGGACATAGCTAGATCGACTCCAAATGTCCTGAAATGGATTTGATTCAACAAGATTACATAGGCTCAAAAATCTTTGTTTAGATGAGGCACGTTTTGGCCGTACCAAATGATATATTGCCTCCCTAGTCATATGGCCGAGGGTATAAAAATTCACGTTTCTGTTCGGAGGGCCCAGATAAAATGTTCTCCAGAAATCTCAGTTTCTGAAACTGAAATATATTTTTTAATCTACTTCTTAAGGCCAGTATTCTTAAAAAAAACATGTATAAGGATCTGAGAGTCCTTGAAAAAATATTGTTTAAAAATTCACGTCTCTGATATTGAAAGTCCTTGAAAAAATATTGTTTGAAAAACCGCGTCTCTGGAACTGAGATTTCCTTATAAAAATTCATGTTTGATAGTCTGATGTTCCTGAAAAAAAAAAAAAACATTCTTTAAAAAGCCACATGTCGGGAACTGATAGTCCATGAAAAAATATTGTTTGAAAATCCCAAAATCTGGAACTGAGATCCCTTTTTAAAAATCCATGTTTGATAGTCTGATGCCCTGAAAAAATATTCTTTAGAAAGACACGTTTCTGCAATCAAGAATTGGATCCAACTTTGAAGGCCTGATAGTCCTCAAAAAGTTTTTAAGCCCACGCTTCTGGGAACGAAAGTCCTTCAACATTTTTTTCTTAAAAATTCCACGTTGGTCGCCAGTATAAAAAAAACCTTTAAACCTTTTAAGCTTTAACAAATTCTTTAGCAAAAATCTACATTTTTTAAACCTGGGGTCGGTGTAAAAATATTCTTTGAAAATCTATATTTACCGGCCAAAGGGTGTTTGGAAAAATCAACACTGTGGACCAGAAAAATAATTATTTTAAAAATTTTCTAGAAAATATTTTCTAAAAATATTCTTAAAAAATCTTTAAAAATTCGTTTTCGGAAAATATTTGTTAAAAAAAGATTTTTTAATTCCCTTTTTGTGTCAAGGTCCCTAATATTTTTTAATACTATTTATTTGTCTATGGCTCGGCTAAAAAATATTCCTAGATTTTTTCAGTTTTTTAAATATCCAAAATTAAGAGCCCATCGGAATACCTTTTAATGGCCACTGTTATGTGACATACATACATATTTCTTAATTCGTATTGTTTATGGGCTACTAAAAATTCCGTTCTTTATAGCTGCGTTTTTTCTTTCGGTTTTTTGCTGAGGACGCCGGTTTTTTGTCCGAACCCTGCACAAAAAATTCCGTATTTCAACAACAACAGATGGTCATTTTCAGCTGAATTGCAGGAAAAAAAATATGCTAATTAAATAACAAATAAGCGACGGGAAAAAAGTGCAGCAAAGTAAATAACACCAGCAACAACAACAGCAGCAGCAAAAAATCTTAAAGAAAGAGCTGACGATCTAGCAAAAAGCGAACTGATGAATGTTGATGCTAATCCCACTTCGATATTCAGTCAAGCGTATGATTCTGTAAGATTTTCAAAATATCCCGAGCACAAAACAAAAACAACAACATTGTTGCCACATACGGCTGGCTAAGCGGTGACGGAGCACCTGAGTTTTAAGCAGCTGCATTTATGCGCACAGGTAAAAATTGCTGACTCGTCACCACATAAATTTATCACGTTTAGAAAAAAAAACGTACAACAACAACAAGCACCACCACTACTACTTCAACAGGCATTCGAAGAGCCTTAACAAAAATATCCAAGATTTTGTCCATCCATCTTCCAGTGAGTCTTTGTCTGGGATCTCTTCTTTTATTGTTATTGCGAGTTATTGTTTGAGTCTTTGGTTTTGGGCTTCTTCTTTTTGTAATCTCTTTGGAGAGTGGTAAATCTTTTAGTTGCCACACTGGAGTAGGAGAAACCGAAACCCCTCAGCTCAGCATCTTCATAAAAAAAAAATGTAGTCACACTTTTGCTGTCTCTCAATTTCGAAATAAATGAAGCCGGACTCAATAACACCATATTATTGATGTACAGTCAGGTTGGAAAGTATGCAGCAGAGACATACAAATGATAAATGCTGGCACTTGAGGATGACAGTATTTTGAATGAAAACTGAAAAAATTAAAACAAGAACCTTGCATATCTTACATATGGGTTTAGAGTTTATTGAAATGGCGCCCAATATAAAATAATTTGTGATTTTTTTTTCAACTCAAAAATAGTATAAACCCACAAACAAAGGTTAATAGTTTTGCAAATTTCAACGGAATACCAGCAGATTTGAATCAGCAAATTCCAAAAAAACTCTTTAAAAAAGGAATTTTAACAACCACCAAACGTCGAGTTACAAAATTATCTTCGATTGTCGAAAAACAGTAAACAATGAAAAATATTTCTGGTAATTTTTACACTTCTCAGGGTGGTCGAGAAGGGAATGCAGGGATAGAGAGAGCGAAAAAAGTAACGGACAAATTGTGCAAATAAAATTGCAAGAAAAAATTCTGAGAATTCAGTTGCAACCCTCATTTAATGACAACTGGAATTCCAATAAAAATGAAGGGTGGCTTGAAGATAACATTGAATAAAAGAAGCGTATCCGAACATTTTTATGGAATTCTTTTTCACCAATCTCCGGACTACGTAAAGTTGGTTTTTGAAAGGAAATTTTTTCACCGACACTGACAAAAAAACTAGGGTTTAAAAAATATATATTTTTACAGGACCACCAAATATGGAGTTTTCAAAGAATAACCTGCAGATAGACTCAAACCACAATACGTGGATTTTCAAAAAAATCTTCTTGGATCATGTCATCAAACGTGGATTTTAAAAAAATATTTTTTCAGACATCAGTCCAACAATCGTGGATTTTAGGGCCCTCAAACTAAAAATCCTGGATTTGTAAATAATATTTTCCAGTGAACGTGGGTTTTTATAGAATATTCAACTCTGGGTCCTCAAAGTAAAAAAACTGGATTTGTAAAGAATATTTTTTTCCAAGTCTCATAACCCGTAAAACGTGGATTTTTAAAGAATATTCTTTTAGGGCCCTCAAATTGAAAAACCTAGATTTCTACAGAATATTTTTACCCCTAAGCCGCCGAAGATGGATTTTTAAAGAATCGTTTTCATGGCCATTAATTTCACAATGGAAGGATTTTTAAAGTGTATTTTTAGATCACAAAATGTAGATTTTATAAGAATCTTGAAGCCTTAAAGAACTATTTTTTATGAACCCCTAGACCACTAAACATGGATTTTAAGAGAATATTTTTCAGGGACTATGAACAGCAGAAAGGTTGATTTTTTAAAAATAGTTTTTCAAGGACCCTCAGACCAGATAGCGTGGACTTTTAAAGAATATTTTTCTACCCATCTTTAAAGCAGAAATTTCGGATTTTAGGGGATATTTTCAAACAATTTAATATGTTTTTTCGGTACTATCAGGCCACCAAAGGTGGATCTTTTAAGAATAATTTATCATGGACCGCTAGATTACGAAACGTGGATTTTTAAAGAATATTTTTCAGTGACTACCAGATCAGATAATGTCGAATTTTGATGAATATATTTCTTTACCAACCTTCAGATCAGAAATCAACTATTTTTGAGGGATGTTTTTAATAAACTTTCAGGTCATAAAACGTGGATTTTAAAAATATATTTTCAAACGAATATTACTCCTGCCACCCTCGGACTACTTAGGCGGTTTTTAAAGAATATTTTTTTCAGGAAATCTCAGCTCCAGAAACTTGCATTTTTAAAGAAAAATTTCCAGGACCTTCGGACCCTGAAACCAGAATTTGTTTTTC